TTTTTTTTTTTCTTTTAAAACTACGCTATATTCTTCTCTCAAATCTTTCATCATCTTTCAAATTCTTTCAAATTCACCTTCACTACCTACCTACCACTACTCCTAAGGCTTAGACAGGGGACCCCTGCAAACATAGCTTTGTTGTCTCCCTCCAGCCATCAGAGGGGATGCATGTTGCCCCCCACCCCAACCATGGTGGTCAAGGATGGGGTGGGGCCGCCGGTGGGGGTCTGGCTAACGCAAAGACAGAGCATTTTGCCAGTAGCTGCACCTCCCTTTTCATCGTCCCCCACCCCCAACCGAATAACAGCAGTGTCTAAGGCCAACACTCTCCCACAGACCACACACAACCCACTCACACTCACACTCACACCCGTGTCGGCCAAGGACCCTGCTATTACCGATCAGAGGTATCAAGCGGACTATCACTGCTGGTTGGCACTAAGTGCGCCGCAGGCGGTTCTGGGGCTCGAACCCACAACCTCCTGAATGCCACTTGCGTGCCTAACCAACTGAGCTAGGACACTGGATGGGCAAGTCATTTTGGAAAGTCGGAAAGTACTTTTTTTTTTAACTTTTTTTTTTTTTTTCTATATTCTTCTCTCAACTTCTGTTTTTATTGAATAAGGCTATCTAGAGGGGACCCCTGCAAGCATAGTTTTCCTCTCTCTGTGAAGGGGAGATTTCATGTTGCCCCTTGCCCCTAATGGTTAGGGTATAGGGTTGGGGCCGCCAGTGGGGGTCTGGCTAACACAAAGGCCGAGACCTGCCAGTAGCTGCGCCTCCCTTTCTCATTGTCCCCAAACCCTCATCGAGTAGCAGCAGAGGCTATGGCCAACACTCTCCCACACACCACACACAACCCACTCGCGCTCACAGTCACACCCATGTTGGTCATAGATCCCGCTAATACCGATCAGGGGTATCCAGAGGACTATCACAGTCCGCTGGCACTAAGTGCGGCGCAGGCGGCCATAGGGCTTGAACCCACAACCTCCTGAATGCCACTTGCAGGCCTAACCAACTGAGCTAGGCCGCTGGATAAAGTACTTTTTCCGGGACCCCATTCGCAGAGGACGAAATGTGCTTGGAAAACCCTCTGGAAACCAGTGAGCCAATCGTTTCCGTTGGCACTCGTTGTTTTGTTCTTTTTTCCATTTTTTTTTTGGTTTTTTTTGTGGCACTCGTCATCGCTATTGGCTGCTGCACCCGTCGACCCGTCCACGGGACCTGGTTTTGGATAAGTTCAAGACGGCTCTGGGGGCCAACCTCAGCTTTCAGCACAAATTTGCGGCGTCATTTCCTCCGCTCGCTGTCTTCCAGACCGCGGACCATGTGAAAACAACCACAGGCGATCTTCCAGGCCACAAAATGCGGGCTGTG